CCTGTACTAAAATTAAATAAGAATACTAATATCTTAAGAGTTTTTCAAATATGAATAAAATGAGGATAAAAACTTAGAATCATTGTTGAAATATTAATCATGAAGTTTGAGTTTCGAACGGATTGACTTTTGGGTCAAACTTAATTTTTTTTTTTTTTGGATGTGTTTAAGATTGATAAGGGTAACTAAATAAATATATTAATTTTTTTTTTATCAAAATAACATTACCATTGAATTCGGGAGGTCGGAAAACATTGGGAGAGGTAATATGGGATGTATTAGAAGTTAGGAAGTATTTTAGAAGTAAAACCAAATTGGAGTGAAATTGGGTAAAAAGGGGTGATAGACACTGCATAGTATTTTGATCATAACTTTATATTTTGATGTCCAATTGATCTGAAATTTTACAGGAAATATTAGACATCTAGGGCTACAAAAGTGTATTTCATAAAAAATTTCCAATTCGACCTCTAAATGGGTCAAAACTGACCTGGAAGTCGCACCAAAAATCTGTGAACAGTACGAAGAAAACCCGATTTTTTTCTGAACAGAAAATATCGGGTTTTGCTCGATTTTCTTGCCCTATAAAAACCTAATGTCGTCCCTTTAGCATTCATTTCACCCCTCCAAACCCTAGGAACCATTTTAGAGGAAGATAGAAATACCAATCAAGAGGGATTTATACCTTGTAGAAATCAAAACTTCAAATTCTTCAAGAATACATTCTCCTCCCATTTTCTTCCATTCTTGCTACCCTCTCACCCAAATCTTTTGAAACCCTAGGAGGAGAAGATTAAGAGGAAAAGAAAGGAGAGCAAGAAGGTCTTGAAGCTTGGGTCTTAGCTTGGAATCTTGATTTAAGGTAGGGGATTTTCTCTCAATCTCTCACATTGAGGCTAGATATATATATATATAGATATATGTTTCTTCACTCTTCTTCTCATATATATAATATGAAATACATGATTCTTGTTCTATTTGTAATAAATGTCATGTTTTGAACAATATGAAGGGTGGGTAACCACCAAAGCTCTATTGATTTTTTTTTTTATCTTCAAAGCCCTAGTTTTCAAGAAAATGGAATTTTCTCCTAATTTCTTCTTTGTCTTTGATTTTAAAACTTTATTGTTGAATATTGTATAACAAAATGATATAGATTACGATCTCTTGCATATTTTCTTGGATTATTCGATTATATGACAAATGTGAAAACAAAATTGGGGATTTTACTATATTTGGGAAATTGTTGTGAATTGTGAATATTCTTGATTTGCTCATTGTATGGTTGTTGTGATGGACTTGGATTACCTTCGAGAGATGCCGTAGAGTGTTAGAGGTTAGTCTATCCCAATGAGGGGTGAGATGGTTGCCTAATGCTCGTAGTGGATCGTTGTTGTGCTCGCGATCACTATTGTTCACATATACACCGAGGAAAAGGGTTAGTATACTAGACACCTTGGGAGGATTTCGTCAATGCCGTAGGAGACGGTACACGCCCTTCCTAAAGAGATTTGTGATTGTTGGTTGGAATTGGTGGACTAGGCATGATCGTTAGGTAGATTCACGAGAAACAATCAACATACATGGTACGGGGATGAACCAAAAATATATGGAATCGGGAGTTGGGTCGTTCTTGCCGATGCATTGGTATGGGACAATGCTTAGGGAGAAGCCCTTCTTAAATAGCTTAAATTAGAATTTTATTTATCGATGCTAAACTCATTTTATTCTTTTAACTGATTATTGCTATTGTTTAAATTTGAGATCTCTTTTAAAATGTCACTGTTTTCATTCCAAACCTATATATATGTTAGTTGTGAAATGAGACCGACCGTTTACCATGTTTTTCAAACCTTGTTTGAGTTGAGAGGATTTTGTTACAGAGCTTCGTGCTCACCCCCTACAAATAAAAATTTTTCAGATTTCACACTTGAGGAGGAGTTAGGAGCCGAGGAGCCCACCCATTGGAAGACTCCGCTTGACGGGGATGTGGATCCCGAGGTGGACGCTTAGAGCGACACTTTTATTTTGTTCTAGACTAGATTATGCTTAGAATATCCTTTTGAACTCTAGTTCATTTCTGTTATTTCCGCTGCGTTATATTATTACATTTTGGAGATGTAAAGGCCAAGATTAGACCTATTAATTTGGGATGATAGTGTGGATATGACATATGATGAATGCAAGTTTATTTTATGATGGAAAAATGGACCCGGTGTGGTCAATAGTTATGCATATGTGGACCCGGTGTGGTCAATTGTAATATAATTGTACAGGTTGTGTTTGGGTAGAGCTCCCCTTACAAAGGAGACTCTGCCCAAATTTTGTTAAAATATGAATGGTTGATGAATGAAACTTTCGTCGTGATGAATTTTACTTAATGCTCTCATACGGTAAATAGTTTTTAGAATGTAATGTCACCCACAGGGGTTTTTAGGGCGTTACATAAGCATAAGCAAATTATGTTGTCAAGCCAAAAAGTTTCTCATGAAACCATATAAAACACTTCTAAAGTATGGTGACATGATCTCTTCCATTGTGACTAACGAGGCAAAAAAAACAAGTGCTTTAGGAACTATTTTTTAAAATATTATATTTGTTCCTATAACTGCAAGACCCTGTACTAAAATTAAATAAGAATACTAATATCTTAAGAGTTTTTCAAATATGAATAAAATGAGGATAAAAACTTAGAATCATTGTTGAAATATTAATCATGAAGTTTGAGTTTCGAACGGATTGACTTTTGGGTCAAACTTAATTTTTTTTTTTTTTGGATGTGTTCAAGATTGATAAGGGTAACTAAATAAATATATTAATTTTTTTTTTATCAAAATAACATTACCATTGAATTCGGGAGGTCGGAAAACATTGGGAGAGGTAATATGGGATGTATTAGAAGTTAGGAAGTATTTTAGAAGTAAAACCAAATTGGAGTGAAATTGGGTAAAAAGGGGTGATAGACACTGCATAGTATTTTGATCATAACTTTATATTTTGATGTCCAATTGATCTGAAATTTTTACAGGAAATATTAGACATCTAGGGCTACAAAAGTGTATTTCATGAAAAATTTCCAATTCGACCTCTAAATGGGTCAAAACTGACCTGGAAGTCGCACCAAAAATCTGTGAACAGTACGAAGGAAACCCGATTTTTTTCTGAACAGAAAATATCGGGTTTTGCTCGATTTTCTTGCCCTATAAAAATCTAATGTCGTTCCTTTAGCATTCATTTCACCCCTCCAAACCCTAGGAACCATTTTAGAGGAAGATAGAAATACCAATCAAGAGGGATTTATACCTTGTAGAAATCAAAACTTCAAATTCTTCAAGAATACATTCTCCTCCCATTTTCTTCCATTCTTGCTACCCTCTCACCCAAATCTTTTGAAACCCTAGGAGGAGAAGATTAAGAGGAAAAGAAAGGAGAGCAAGAAGGTCTTGAAGCTTGGGTCTTAGCTTGGAATCTTGATTTAAGGTAGGGGATTTTCTCTCAATCTCTCACATTGAGGCTAGATATATATATATATATATATATAGATATATGTTTCTTCACTCTTCTTCTCATATATATAATATGAAATACATGATTCTTGTTCTATTTGTAATAAATGCCATGTTTTGAACAATATGAAGGGTGGGTAACCACCAAAGCTCTATTGATTTTTTTTTTTATCTTCAAAGCCCTAGTTTTCAAGAAAATGGAATTTTCTCCTAATTTCTTCTTTGTCTTTGATTTTAAAATTTTATTGTTGAATATTGTATAACAAAATGATATAGATTACGATCTCTTGCATATTTTCTTGGATTATTCGATTATATGACAAATGTGAAAACAAAATTGGGGATTTTACTATATTTGGGAAATTGTTGTGAATTGTGAATATTCTTGATTTCCTCATTGTATGGTTGTTGTGATGGACTTGGATTACTTTCGAGAGATGTCGTAGAGTGTTAGAGGTTAGTCTATCCCAATGAGGGGTGAGATGGTTGCCTAATGCTCGTAGTGGATCGTTGTTGTGCTCGCGATCACTATTGTTCACATATACACCGAGGAAAAGGGTTAGTATACTAGACACCTTGGGAGGATTTCGTCAATGCCGTAGGAGACGGTACACGCCCTTCCTAAAGAGATTTGTGATTGTTGGTTGGAATTGGTGGACTAGGCATGATCGTTAGGTAGATTCACGAGAAACAATCAACATACATGGTACGGGGATGAACCAAAAATACATGGAATCGGGAGTTGGGTCGTTCTTGCCGATGCATTGGTATGGGACAATGCTTAGGGAGAAGCCCTTCTTAAATAGCTTAAATTAGAATTTTATTTATCGATACTAAACTCACTTTATTCTTTTAACTGATTATTGCTATTGTTTAAACTTGAGATCTCTTTTAAAATGTCACTGTTTTCATTCCAAACCTATATATATGTTAGTTGTGAAATGAGACCGACCGTTTACCATGTTTTTCAAACCTTGTTTGAGTTGAGAGGATTTTGCTACAGAGTTTCGTGCTCACCCCCTACAAATAAAAATTTTTCAGATTTCACACTTGAGGAGGAGTTAGGAGCCGAGGAGCCCACCCATTGGAAGACTCCGCTTGACGGGGATGTGGATCCCGAGGTGGACGCTTAGAGCGACACTTTTATTTTGTTCTAGACTAAATTATGCTTAGAATATCCTTTTGAACTCTAGTTCATTTCTGTTATTTCCGCTGCGTTATATTATTACATTTTGGAGATGTAAAGGTCAAGATTAGACCTATTAATTTGGGATGATAGTGTGGATATGACATATGATGAATGCAAGTTTATTTTATGATGGAAAAATGGACCCGGTGTGGTCAATAGTTATGCATATGTGGACCCGGTGTGGTCAATTGTAATATAATTGTACAGGTTGTGTTTTGGGTAGAGCTCCCCGTACAAAGGAGACTCTGCCCAAATTTTTTTAAAATATGAATGGTTGATGAATGAAACTTTCGTCGTGATGAATTTTACTTAATGCTCTCATACGGTAAATGGTTTTTAGAATGTAATGTCACCCACGGAGGTTTTTGGGGTGTTACAATAACACAATTAGAAATGTGAATGTTTTGCGTATATGTGATATGGATTGCATCAGTGTTGGAGTTCGTTGCAGGTGCAATCACCTTGAGATTGGAGGCTTGGACATTCACACATTTCTCAAAAGAAACATGATTTTGTTGTGCATCTTGGATCTTTAGGTTATTTACAATCAAATTGTTGTCATTATAGAAGGTTAAAGCCTGCCAAAAAAAAAAAGGTTGATATTTAGAAGGAAAAAAAAAGCCCTTCTATTTGTCATATATTATGTGAATATGAACATAATATCATGCATTTATATAAAGAAACAAACATACCGTTGGTGCATCCTTGCATGGTCGCATACCCATGAAACAAAATAAACTAATTAGTCATTGATTAGTAAAAAAGTCAAATAGGACAATACAATGCATAAGACTCTTGTCATTGTAAGCTTAAAAAGTATTAGTTTTATGCAACTACATGTAAAAATTCTTTTTGTGGCTCGAATCCTTGACGGTTAAGTCGCAATAACCTTATCCATGCACAAAAAAATAGTGTATTGTAACTCCACCTCCTTCAACTATTAGATTTTGGATATTGTCAAAGATAAGCCAATGTTTGTCTTGTGTGTTGTAGTTTGATCAATCACTAGATGTTGTAATTATTCCATAAATCTGATTTTTTAACAAAAAAAACTTTATTATAAGAAATGATTCTTTAAATTCTATCCTTTTTGTTGGAACCCTTTCTATATGTAACTGATGTGACCTGCATTGTCAGATTAGATTTGCGAGGACCAGAAAATCTACTTGGCTTAAGAAGATAGTTATTTTTTTGAGGTACCACCAAGATAGCTCCTGTTGATGAACAAGCATTTTGCCAAGTCATCTGAAATGCCTGAAATAGTACAAAATTTTTATATATAAACCAATCATTTTTTTTTTGTTGAGATGACTTCAGAAGTTTTCTCTCGTTACATATTAATTCGTCATAATTTTAAATTATTTAATAAAAATATGTTGATATTTCTCATTAAATTCTTACATGTGCCTAATGTAACCACTCCCATTATATTTGGTAACTACTCCAAATTTGATTTCCCACAATCTCTTTATACTATTTCACATTTAATTTTTTTTTTTAAATTAATTTAGCACAATAGTGGCTAATGTTTTAATAATGTCACTGGACAAGTCATAAAATACGTAAAAGAACATAATCACCAAAAAATGTAGTAATAAACATTGGAATTATCTTGAAGAGAAATGTTATTTGAACTCTATCGATCACAACCATTAAATAAGTTATGAGTCTTATTAAAAATTAAAATTTCTAGTTAAATCAATGACAATGATCGATAGAGTCAACAAATGATGCCAATATTTTAAGTCATTACTCTGTCTTGAAAGGGGCCTCCGTGTAATTTACTAGACGTTGATGATCAGTACTTGTTAAAAGAAAAGGTTGATCGAATAAAAGAGTTCATACTTTACTGTAATTGATTACCTGTTTGTCATCATGAGTTCCATCACCTTTGGCTCCAAAATCAACTACATTGATTGTGTTAGCAGAAGCTGCCAGCCTCTGAAACGTCTTAAAACCATAGATTCCAATTTGTAGCTTGGCTGAGTTCTCAAAGTCTAACCCAGATTCTTCTTGAACGTATTTGCTATGAGGTGGACCATCATGAAGGCTGGTGTAGCATGAAATGAAGGAGAGGATGATGATGAATGGGTACATATGCTTTTGTACAGCCATAATGTACTTCTTCTGTAGAAGAGAGAAAAAACAATTCGAAAAGTATGGAGGGTCTGGAGGATTTTAATAATCTAAGAGCTATTGAAGTGATAGCAAAGTTAGATGACGAGCTTGTATATCTATAGGAGAGAGAGAGAGAGAGAGAGAGAGAGAGAGGGACTACTCCCTTCTGAGGGATTTTATTCATAGAAAGAAAATTCCAATCATGCATCCCGCCCTTTTCTATTTACTGCACATTGGTCCATCCTTTTGGTGTGTTCTATTACTCTTTTCCACATCTTTTTTTCGATGGTTTTTTGTGGTTTAAAGAACATTTCATGGTAGGATGACAAAATATAAAGACTATTACATAAAAATTATCAAAAAAATCAACAAAAGTGTCGTTGTGGACCATATTTCTATTTTTTTTTTGTGATGGAGGGTGCAATCTAAATATTTTAAAGTATAAATTAAAATTTTAAAGATCGTTTATAGAGGAAAGTGTCATGCACCCATTTTTTAGTTGTAGAACTACAAACTTCAACGGATAGTTCAAGTGATAATAGAATATGTTGTAAATTTGACTCTTTCAGACTATAGAGGAACAAGAGTTTCATATATTGAATTACATTTTTTATAGTTTAAGGTGTGTATCCTTTTTATGTTAATTAAATAAAATTAACATCCATAATAATATACAACCATTCGTTTTCATTGCAATGGGCCCTTCGAAATAAGTTTTTATTAATGTATATTTCATAATAAAAGTGAAGAATCCAAAAATCAATGCCAATCAACCGACCGAGCTTAGGTTGATTTAATTTGACAGTGGTCCAAGTTTGTATTGATTTGGATTGCTTATTCTGTATTGGTTGTTTATTGGATCGGTGATGAACAAAAAATCTTAAGAAACACGGATACGATGATACCAAAAAATTTTAAAACATAAGAAACACGTATCTATAATCTATCTATAATATAAAACAGGGTGATTTTAACAAATAAATCCAACGGCCTAAAATTCATTTATTCAACGGGCCACTGATACTTCTTTCATTTCCCCCCAAAATTCTTCTATTTTTGCTCGTTATTTTTCAAAATCAGACGAACCTCGGTCACTTCGTATGTGAGATGCCCCCCCCCCCCCTGCATCTGTTTTTTTTCCTCAAAATCAGACCTCTCTCTATTTTTTTCTTCATTGCTGTTTCTTCTTCCTTTTTTTCCCTCCGCCAGTCCCCTCTCTCTCTATGTGTGTGTGTTATGCCCCAGCGACACCACCACTACCAGCGCCACTTCGTCAGCAACACCACCGCCGCCACTGCTAATGCCTCCCAGGTATCCCTCATCTCTCTCTCTCACACACACACACAAAAACATACACACTAACCCCCCCTCCTACCCCACCTCTTCTCTGCCCCTTCTACGCAACACCTCCCCCACCCTACCCCCCACCTCTTCTCTGCTCTCTCTCTCTCTCTCTCACACACCTTAGCTTTGCTTTGCAGCAAACTCTTGGATGTTTTCTGTGATGCCATGTACAGTATTGTGATTGTATTGTGTTTGTATTGTAATGCCATGTACAGTGGTGACTAAGGCTAATTGGGTTTGTTGGGATTTCCCTAGAGATGGCATTTTGAAGTCCTGGAAGAGCTAGGGGTGGAGCTGTGTTGAGGGGTGATTGGGGTCGTTTGATTCTGGAAGCTTCCTTCTTTTTATGGAGTGTGTTCAAATATTGAAGCTGAATTTTGAGCGTTATTGGTTGGGCTAAGATTAGTAGAGAGGTATGGCTTATTTGTTTATAGTATTGACATTGATTCTGACTCTTTGAGATTGGATCAAGATCAGATGAGGCTGCCTGTGCTGCGTACCAGGAAGGTGCTGATTTTTGATGATTTTGGTTGACGCAGTATAGCTGGATTGTTATGGTGGAGGTGGATTTGGAAGGTTTTTTTTGCCTGTCTTGCGTGTTAGGAGAAAGTTGCTGAATGAAGTCTGCCATTGAAGAAGTATTGTAAACAGATTTTTCTGTTTTGCCTTTTTGTAACAGATTTGTTCTGTTTTTCTTACAACAGAATTTTTCTGTTTTGTAGCAGATTTTTTTGTTTTGTAACAGAAAATTCTTTTTTTTCTTGTAAACAGATTTTTCTTTTTTCTTTTTTTTATTCTTGTAATTTCTAAAATTCATTCAATAAAATTGCTTTGGTTTAAAAAAAAAGAAGTATGTGTTTTTATTTTTTTTATTTTTTCGAATTCAAAAGGGGTATGTGTTTGTGAAATTTAGAATTTTGACACTTTGGTTTGTCTAAACTTTAGAATTTTGACATGTTGAAATTTAAAACTTATGTTAGTTGACATTGTCATAGACCAAGAAGGAGTTCCCTATCATTGTCTTAATATTATGGTTGTGCTTTTTTATTTTGTTGTGTTTGACTTTTTACATTGCACGGAGTGAATGCTCATGGAAGTGTTGATTTGATATTAATTTGTGTTTAATTTTTTCTTTTCGTTACAGATCTAAAGTTTTGGGTTTCAATATGTTTGGTGGAATAAAGAAACTATCATGTGACCTTACTCCTTAGGCTTGAGAGGCCCCTAACATCATCTCTAACTTGATTGTCTAAGCCAAACTCAACTTTCGTGTGGTTATGGTAAAACACATCAACGTGGGTGAGGGGTATTGTGACGTCCCTAAAATCGGGAGTTCCGTGTTAATTCGTTGATCACCCATCAACTCGTAGAAATATTTGTGAATGTCGCATGACCCGATACCACGACTCAATAATAAAAAGGTTTGGACAGGGTCTCCCTAGGACCGAAAACTCCCAATTGCTTAATCTGTGTGCATCATAGTCACTAGACCCATCCAAGGTCTAACACATCACACTTTATACTCCATTATGATCCATTGACATCATTTGAATGAGGGAACACATAGTCCAAAAGCATGGCAAAGTATTCTAAAATTTTCAAATTTTTGGAAAACCTTCCGGAAGATTGAGCATACTAAAATCCTAGCTTTAAGAAAGATGTGTCAACCTTCTGAAAGGTGTGTTCAACCTTCCGGAAGAAATTACACACTGGATTCCCTCATTTTAGAAAAATGTGAAGTCCTTCCGGAAGGTTAAAATCGACCGTCCGAAAGGTTCTTCCACTGTTCAACAATTTTTCCTTGTCTTTGTCCAAACCTTCCGAAAGGTTATGCCTAGAATTGTATGTTCACCTGATTTTCATTTTCAATTCATTTCAAACCTTCTCACAAACATCCAAAACATGTAAAATATAATTTTTCACTTAAGACTTGATACATACAAGTTATATTACATACAATTCCACATATTTACACATCAAAATGGAATTTTCATAAAAACTTTACAAAATGAACTATAAAAGCCACAAATCGATTTTCTTCATCCTTGAGGCTCGAAATGGGGGCCGTCCACCGGTGTGAACCCCGTACCTGAAATGTTTTCCCACGAAGGGTGAGCTATGCTCAATAGAGTATCTTCTAGATAGGCTACTCCCCAAGCTAAATGCATATGAAATGTTCGCATGCTAACAATCCACAATTTCATAACATTCTAAGTAAGAATATGCCTCTAATGTTGGAATTTAAGATGTCATGTCATGGAATAAGATGAGACTCACTCATACACATCAACCCGAGCCCTTCCCGACTTCTCGACACATGCAAGTGCTAATGTGCATGAATTTGTCATTTATGTTGCACATCAAATGACATTCACTAATCTAGGGTCTTTGTAGGGGTGGATGTTTATGGACTCACACCAAAGGTCACCCAACCCACACGGAATAAGATGAGACTCACTCATACACATCAACCCGAGCCCTTCCCGACTTCTCGACACATGCAAGTGCTAATGTGCATGAATTTGTCATTTATGTTGCACATCAAATGACATTCACTAATCTAGGGTCTTTGTAGGGGTGGATGTTTATGGACTCACACCAAAGGTCACCCAACCCACACGGAATTCACAGACTTCCACCGAAGATTCCACGTACACTCACACACTTCATGGACTGAACCAAGGGAGTGCATACCCATCATCGGGCCTTGCACCCAAGGAATCTTCTAGCCCTTCTTGCTAACCCCAACCCTAATCACCATGTAATCAGTGAGACTCGGCCAGATCTTCGACCAAGCTTACTCGAGCCCACTAGTCATCCACCGAGCGTGGTGTTGACAAACAACCATGCACACACACGCCCATTTAGTGCGATGTCCCCGTGCATATTTATTGTGATGCCTCATTTCAACAACAATACGATGCTCAATGTGCTATGGATGACATATAAACAATCTCAATACATACTATGGATAATTTCATTCTAAACATATAATTTTCATAATCCATCAATTCCAATATATCACAAGCATGTGTATATACATCAACTATTTTCACAACACCACGTCAAAACATATTATCACACAATCATGCTATCAACATTTTGAATTCATCAGGGTATAATATAAACACATAGCATACCCACATATCATACTTCTCAAAAAAAATTCATTATGCAATTCCCATATACTCAAGTTCAAGATAGAGTTTGCCCTACCCATTTCACCAAACCACCAACAATAGGCAAGTGATATTTAAATCTATCAACCTACGCATTTCATATAAACATCTTAGGTTTGGAATACACCTAAGTAGGAGGGAACCCTACCTCTTGAAGCGTAAAGAACACGTTGGGAAGCTCCAAGAACCTGATTCAAGCTAGAATCTTCTCCTCCCAAAATCCCTTCCTTGGAATCTCGCCCACAACCGACCTCCTTGGTATGGTTTTGTAGCCCACGTCGAGGAGAACAACTTTTTTTCTTGGCCCGAGTGGATCCAAGCACCGTGGAGTCGTAAATCGTAGAGAGAAGGTGGATAACTTTCTCTATTTCCCTCTTTTCTTTATCGGCTAATGGCTGGACAATAGAATGGGGAAAAATCTATTTTTTTTCCTATTTATATTTCTCGATACTTGACCCACAATTCGCCACACGA